TAATTTTGTGAAATTTTATCAATAAATATGGTTTAATATGTATACAAATTATTATTTAATAAAAATGTATAAATTTATTATAAATGATACAAAATTTGTTTGCATATTACCGGTAATACAGTTTTGGGCAACTCGATGATCAATTCAGCAATGTCATTATGGTTTACATTCTATAATTATAAAACTATTTACGGATTTACAATTTATACATCAATTATCTAAACGAGTAGATTTTGTTTGCAATTGTTTATGAATTAAAAATGCTAAAAATGTTAGAATATCATGATTTTGGTTGCATGTAATTAATTTAAAAGTTAGATATAAAACTGTTTAATAACTAAAACACAATTAGTCAATATTATTTATGTTTTTATTTCTATTATGCAATTATAGCACTTCAATCTGTTAATAGTAATTTGTAAATAGTTAAATTTGTTAAATATTATGGTCCATCAGTACTGATCATTGTGTAATAAAACGTACAAAAAGTTTCTATTGCGATAGATTAAGCTCATAGTTACACAAGTGCAACTTGGGTTCAATTGTTTACAATAAAACATGCTAACTTGTAATATTTTAAAATATTGTCATAATATTTCTTTCATAACTTTCAATAAAATCAATTTACTAATTGAAATTCACACCAATCCATACTATTTTATATCTGCAATAGTATAGCACACAAAATGCTTGTTGTATAGTAATAAGGTTGTAAACGTATTCGCACGAAAATTGGGGACTATTTGAGAGTCTATCTCTATATTTCTTACAGTTTGACCAGAAATATAGCGCTTTGGAATGGTTAGAATGGCCCCATAGTAAGCACATCACGTGACCAAAATCTATATGTAAGACCAGAGGAACTACCGTTTATGACACTCTTATATACTTTTTACAGAATTGTATTATATCTTATAGGTTGAGAGTAATTGACAAAACCGCATATGCAAAATACATTGACCGCCTTATTATAATAAATTAATAAACATTTTTATTCTTTAACATTAAATTAAAACTATTTAAAAACTAATCCAAATTTTTCTAATTTCATTCATATAATATAATATATATTATATGAATACTGTATATACATATTATGATGAATGTTAATTTTGTAATTTCCGAAACTTACCACATTTGTTTAAATTAAGATAATTGATCAAATAAAAAAAGCATTAAAAGTTATCGATATGTGATTCCCTATGAATGACTACTCATTATAATCTGATAATTGAGTCCTTGGATTGATTTGAATGATTTATATAAATACTGATCAATATTTAATATAAATAGTCCACTAATTTGTTGAACAAATATACTGTTTTATTTAAGAATTCACTTTAAACGTGATAAATATATTAATTGTTCAAAATGCAAAAGTAATATATATTTTAACCAGATTTAACCATATTATAACTTTACATGTATTATAATAAAAACTTTATAGAGTTATAGATCTGCGCTCCGATACTCTAACAAAGCCTTCAGATGGGATGCGACGGGCGATAGCGGATGCTGTGGTCGGCGACTCCATGTATATCGAAGACCCAACAGTTATCGGTTTGTTTTAGAATTATATTTTTATAATTTGGTGCAATTTGTGGTGACCAATATTATCACTGTTTTTATGTGTCATATGAATAGAGTTGGAGAGCTATGCGGCAAAAATAATGGGCAAAGAGGCGGCTATTTTTGTTCCATCGGGAACAATGTCTAATCTGGTTGCAGGTCTGGTCACTAATTCTTAACAATACCCAAACCATATGACAAGAATAATGATTTATTTTGTGTCCCATTATTTAGTGATGGCTCACACTTGGGAAAGGGGAGCAGAGATCTTATTAGGAGATTGTTCTCATATACATATCAATGAGCAGGGCAATATTGGAAGTATGCAATTTTGAAGTTTTGTTAAATTATATAGTATAATAAAAATTGCATAAAATCATTGTTTACAACAGCCATAGCCCACGTCCACAGCCGTACTCTTACTAACAAAAGTGACGGAACTTTTAGTATCGATGAATTGGTTTCAAAGATTCGTTATAACGTCGACTCTTTATTCCCGAACACAGCTCTCGTCTGTATTGAAAACACACATAATATATGCAACGGANTAATTTTGTGAAATTTTATCAATAAATATGGTTTAATATGTATACAAATTATTATTTAATAAAAATGTATAAATTTATTATAAATGATACAAAATTTGTTTGCATATTACCGGTAATACAGTTTTGGCCAACTCGATGATCAATTCAGCAATGTCATTATAGTTTACATTCTATAATTATACACTGTAAAACTATTTACGGATTTACAATGTATACATCAATTATCTAAACGAGTAGATTTTGTTTGCAATTGTTTATGAATTAAAAAATGCTAGAATATCATGATTTTGGTTGCATGTAATTAATTTAAAAGTTAGATATAAAACTGTTTAATAACTAAAACACAATTAGTAAATATTATTTATGTTTTTATTTCTATTATGCAATTATAGCACTTTAATCTGTTAATAGTAATTTGTAAATAGTTAAATTTGTTAAATATTATGGTCCATCAGTACTGATCATTGTGTAATAAATTGTACAAAAAGTTTCTATTGCGATAGATTAAGCTCATAGTTAAACAAGTGCAACTTGGGTCCAATTGTTTACAATAAAACATGCTAACTTGTAATATTTTAAAATATTGTCATAATATTTTTTTCATAACTTTCAATAAAATCAATTTACTAATTGAAATTCACACCAATCCATACTATTTTATATCTGCAATAGTATAGCACACAAAATGCTTGTCTAGTAATAAGGTTGTAAACGTATTCGCACGAAAATTGGGAACTATTTGAGAGTCTATCTCTATATTTCTTACAGTTTGACCAGAAATATAGCGCTTTGGAATGGTTGGAATGGCCCCCATATTAAGCACACCACGTGACCAAAATCTATATGTAAGACCAGAGGACAAAACCAGAGGAACTACCGTTTATGACACTCTTATATACTTTTTACAGAATTGTATTATATCTTATATGTTAAGAGTAATTGACAAAACCGCATGTGCAAAATACATTGACCGCCTTATTATAATTAATTAATAAACATTTTTATTCATTAAGTTAAAACTATTTAAAAACTAATCCAAATTTTTCTAATTTCATTTATATGATGAATGTTAATTTTGTAATTCCCGAAACTTACCACATTTGTTTAAATAAAGATGATTGATTAAATAAAAAAGCATTAAAAGTTGTCGATATGTGATTCCCTATGAATGACTACTCATTATAATCTGATAATTGAGTCCTTGGATTGATTTGAATGATTTATATAAATACTGATCAATATTTAATATAAATAGTCCACTAATTTGTTGAACAAATATACTGTTTTATTTAAGAATTCACTTTAAACGTGATAAATATATTAATTGTTCAAAATGCAAAAGTAATATATATTTTAACCAGATTTAACCATATTATAACTTTACATGTATTATAATAAAAACTTTATAGAGTTATAGATCTGCGCTCCGATACTCTAACAAAGCCTTCAGATGGGATGCGACGGGCGATAGCGGATGCTGTGGTCGGCGACTCCATGTATATCGAAGACCCAACAGTTATCGGTTTGTTTTAGAATTATATTTTTATAATTTGGTGCAATTTGTGGTGACCAATATTATCACTGTTTTTATGTGTCATATGAATAGAGTTGGAGAGCTATGCGGCAAAAATAATGGGCAAAGAGGCGGCTATTTTTGTTCCATCGGGAACAATGTCTAATCTGGTTGCAGGTCTGGTCACTAATTCTTAACAATACCCAAACCATATGACAAGAATAATGATTTATTTTGTGTCCCATTATTTAGTGATGGCTCACACTTGGGAAAGGGGAGCAGAGATCTTATTAGGAGATTGTTCTCATATACATATCAATGAGCAGGGCAATATTGGAAGTATGCAATTTTGCAAGTTTTGTTAAATTATACAGTATAATAAAAAGTGCATAAAATCATTGTTTACAACAGCCATAGCCCACGTCCACAGCCGTACTCTTACTAACAAAAGTGACGGAACTTTTAGTATCGATGAATTGGTTTCAAAGATTCGTTATAACGTCGACTCTTTATTCCCGAACACAGCTCTCGTCTGTATTGAAAACACACATAATATATGCAACGGAACTCCACTTCCATTAGAATTCATCGACAAAGTAATGCATTTATACAATATTATACTGTATAACATTATTTACTAACTATAATATTTTCAAATGATTTTCAAAATAACAAAAAAATAATCTGCGATCAAGTTTATCCACAATATTTAAAGAATCAGTATTTTAATCGGCTTTAAAAATATGCATTAAATCCTTTTACATCTTTAAATATTTTAATTTTATTCAATATATACAATATGACAGTTAATATACCGGTATATAAAATAATGTTAACTTTTGAAAGGTTTGTGAGATTGCAAAATCCAATGGCATTGCAGTGCATATGGACGGCGCCCGTATATTCAACGCCAGCCTCAAGACTGGTGTATCCGTTGACAGAATTATTAAGAATTGTGATTCTCTATCGTTTTGTCTTTCAAAGGTTTGTACAATATTTTCTACGATTTGACACAACAATAATAAATTACAAATTGTGTTTGTGTTAGGGGTTGGGCTGTCCTATTGGCAGTGTTTTGGTCGGCTCTAAACCCTTTATACAACGAGCCATAAGATGTCGTCGAGTATTGGGTGGAGGTATGAGACAGGCGGGCGTTTTGGCAGCCGCTGGTCTTTTTGCTTTAAGACACAACATCGAGAGAATGCATTTGGATCACAAACACGCCTTTATGATTGCATCAGGTTAGACATTTGTGTTAATTTTTACAAATATTCTTGATAAATATTTGTAATATTTTATTAATGTATTTTCCATTCGTAAGAATATACGTATGTTTATAAAATTGTTTTATTTTCATAGCTATCGCTAACCAAAACAAAAGTTTCATCAAAATTGATATGAAGAATATTCACACAAATATTGGTTATATTGATGTCGACCCCAAATGGATGACTGCATCTCAGTTTACCGCGCGTTTAAATACAGTAATATTATTTTAACGTAATTTTTAAACAGAATATTAATTATAAGATTAAATTTTCTTTAAGATTACAAATGAGGAGAAAATTGAATTTGGAGAGCGATGTGTTGCCGTCAAAATGGGTTTCAAAACTCCAACCAGAATACGATTTGTTACTCATTTAGACATCACTTATGAGGACACACTTCTATTGATTGAAAAATTAAATTTTGTTATCAATAATTTTAATAAACTCTAAACCATTACGATTTAAACGTTATTTAATTTATGTATATTATGTTTAAATTAAATGAAATTCAGAATAATGTTTAATAATAACCAAGAATTGTTTAGAATATTATCAAATCTGATTGAAATTCCATCTAGAGATAATTTACATTATAACCAAGAAATCTTAAATAAAAAACACATACTACACTGTATTCAATACAGTGTATTGTATATGTAAAGTAAAAAGATAATATTATATTACATATTTTTACTTAAATATTGTTTAAGAGGTAAAAACTAAGTTTTATATAAAATGTTATAAATTTATTGACAATACTAATTGTTTGCATTTTAGTATACAATATGTACTGAATTGTCTTATAGGAAGACTTTTTTTAAACCTCATAAAAGATGGATTAAAATTATTTGTTGGATTTCCTATACTACTGTAAAGTATAAGTAGAGTCTCGATTTTTCGGGAATAAAAACATGTGAATTCGGGAGTATACATGGCCAGAATCGGGAAAATTCGGGAATTACGTTTTAATTGGATTTTCACATAATAATTATGTATTTAAGTGATTTTTATAAGGTTTATATGCACTAACGAAACAAAATAATGACATTTATTGATGCAAAAATAATTAATAATCTTAATTTTGCAGCAAGTTTTGGTATTCTGTGAGCAAATTCATTAGTATTTTGATAGAAAATCTTTCTCAAAAAGTGCCAAAATCGGGAAAATTCGGGAAAATCGGGAATTCCCGAAAAAATTAATAATCTTAATTTTGCAGCAAGTTTTGGTATTCTGTGAGCAAATTCATTAGTATTTTGATAGAAAATCTTTCTCAAAAAGTGCCAAAATCGGGAAAATCGGGAATTCCCGAAAAATAGAGACTCTAAGTATAAGTATAGTAAACCGGTAGTTTACCGGTATAATTTATTTATTGAAATTATAAACAATAGTAATATCAGTTAATATGAAAATTATGAACGTAAATTTATGTGATGTAAATCTTCAAAATGATGAAACTCTTAATCAAGTACTTGATTCATCTGATCCATCGGTCTCTTTATAGTTAATGACCGTCGTTTAAACCATTGTCGGTAAGTTTGACATTTCTAGATATAGTTGCACCTCATGTGCACAAATTGAAATACAACTATTGTATACAACTACAGTATATTTGACGTAATACAGTAATGGTCACAAATTCCTTATGATAACTTATACCTAAAATATTTATAGTAAAACTAGTCAAATGTCAATGAAAACGCTCCCAAATCTGTGGCTATAAGTAATTTCTTATAGAAAGCACTGTCGAGATGTGGTTTAGTAGACTTAATACATATTTTCTGTGTATTCTTATAACATTATAAAAGTTTTGAATGAAATATTTCAAGAATTTACGTCAACTTTAGCGTAAGGACTTCAAGATTGGTTTAGCAAATAGTAAACTTATATACAGCAATAAATTATATACAATATGGTTAACAGTAATCACTAAAACGGGAAACTCGTCGCTGAGTGACTCCTGTTATGACCTTTAATTTTATATTGGATTTCAATCCGTGTTTATGTCATCCAAATGTGTGA